ATCGGCTGCCTCCTGCACACTCCACTCTGGGGATCGAGCCCCCAACCCAGACCTGTGCCCTGACCGGGAATCGAACTGTGGCCTCCTGGTATTTAAGATTTGTTTTAAATGTTTACACAAGTAAAAACATTCATTTTACAAATGTTCATATCTGCTCTGGCCGAGTAACTCCGTTGGTTAGAGTGTTGTCCTGATACACAAGGTTTCGGGCTCGATCCCCATTCAGGGCGTGTACAAGTATCAACCAATGAATGCATAAATAAGTGAACCGACAAATTGATGTTTCTCTCTCCCTTCCTCTGTCTTTAAAATCAATAATAAAAAAAGAGTTTAAATGTTCATCTCAAGCTTCCCTTCAAAGCTCTTGCTCTGCCCCCTCCCAGGGAAGCTGGACCTGGCCGTGGCCGTGAGGGTTTGAGTGGAGAGTGGGAGAACGTGGTCTGTCCACCACGTCCCCACCCTTTCCTCTCTGCGGCTGGTCTGGGACAGGGCTGGGAGGTGCAGTTCCTCCTACCTGACAGCCCTGGAGAAGCGGCTGTTTCTCTGTTGATTGGCTGCCACGCTTTGGGACTAACTGGCTATGTCTTCCTCCATATGGCAGCTAAAAACTGGCTCTCTTGTGCAATCTTTCTGAATTTCACCTCCCTTATCTGTAAAATGGAAAGACAGCAAATTTCCTTATGTGGGTGACGTGAAACCAGAGTAAGGCAATGTATATGCGGGAACACTGTCAACTGTACAGCACTATGTACACATTAGTAGCTATTATTATATTCTTTTGAGGAGCCTATTACTTGAAATATCTACTTTTTGAAATATATATATTTTTATTGGTTTCAGAGAGGAAGAGATAGAAACATCAATGATGAGAGAGAAGCATCAATCGGCTGCCTCCTGTACGTCCCCCACTAGGGAGTGAGCCCGCAACCTGGGCATGTGCCCTGACCGGGAACTGAACCGGGACCTCTTGGCTCACAGGTCGATACTCAACCACTGAGCCATGCTGGCCGGGCCCTAACATATTATATATTTATTTGTTTATGGTTTGCTTTCTCCTATTAGAATGTAGGACTTTGCCCACTGCCAGCCACATCCCCAACGCCCACTACAGAAATGAATTCCTTCTGAATATTTCTTTGTAATGACCATGGCATAGTTACACCTGCCCAAGTCCAATGGCAATTTTCATACCCGGGGGTTCTGGAGTGGGCTCCCTTCCTTGTGTACTGGGGAAAGTCACATGCTTATCTCTGTCCTGAAGGAGAACACAAGCCTATTCTCCACGTTCAACTTTAAGTGGAAATACACTGGCGCTTGGGGGATGGGGTTTGAGAGAAGGGGAGGGGATCTGCCCTTAGTATCTTACCATCTTTAACCTCCTTTAAAAAGATGCCTGCAGCTGACTAGAGCCTGGTAAGATCCATCGTGCCTCAGCCCATTTACTGGAAAGTTGTGTTGTGGAAAAGACAAATACATATAAACAACTGGAAATGGATCGAGGGGGTGGGCAGATATAGGGAACTTATTGCATTTACAGAAGGTGGAGGGAGGAGGCCCTATCAGAACATCCGCCCAGGGATCCACAGCGTTGTTACTGGTCTTAAGAGCTGGGAGGTGGGATCGTGTACATCACATAGGACCATGAACCCTGGGGACACTCCCATCCACCTTCACCATCCCCCTTGCCTCAACTTTCACGGAGGCCAAAATAAAACTGTATCTCCCGCCCAACCGGTTTGGCTCAGTGGATAGAGCGTCGGCCTGCGGACTCAGGGGTCCCAGGTTCGATTCCGGTCAAGGGCATGTACCTTGGTTGCGGGCACATCCCCACTGGGGGGCGTGCAGGAGGCAGCTGATGGATCTCTCTCATCGATGTTTCTGGCTCTCTATCCCTCTCCCTTCTTCTCTGTAAAAAATCAATAAAATATTTAAAAAAAAAATAAAAAAAAATAAAACTGTATCTCCCCCTCTGTGTGCATGGGGACCAGGTTTGAGCCCAGGCTGCTTTGTCTTAAGGGAGACGATGTCCATCTCTGTGATCAATATAGGGTCTGATCCCCACATAATGACTAGCTCATTGTGGGCCCATGTGGTCATGAGATAGTCTTTCGGTGCTGCAGGCACCGACCCTGCCCTCCTGACTTGAGTTGGCAGTGGGCCACCTTACACCCTGCCCCTTGCACAGAACGCTGCACTTCCCAGAACTGTTCTCCACAAGCTGTTCTCTTCCTCCTCGGGCCTGCCCGGACCGGCTAGGGTATTCCACAACAATGTTCTAATTTCCCCTGGCAGAACTTGGCTCTGGCTCCAATCACATGTCCCCAGATGCACCTACTAGTACATGCAACTGCCCAGGAGGGACCAGCAGGGGGAGCCAGAAATTTTCAGATTGTTTAGCTACCAGTGATGGCGAACCTTTTGAGCTCGGCGTGTCAGCATTTTGAAAAACCCTAACGTAACTCTGGTGCCGTGTCACATATAGAAATTTTTTGATATTTGCAACCATAGTAAAACAAAGACTTATATTTTTGATATTTATTTTATATATTTAAATGCCATTTAACAAAGAAAAATCAACCAAAAAAATGAGTTCGCGTGTCACCTCTGACACGCGTGTCATAGGTTCCCCATCACTGAGCTAGACAAAAGGGTCAAGGATAAAAGCTACTACTTCTCAAAAGGCTCAGGTAATTTTCTCCTCATTTAAGATACATTGCCCTCGCCGGTTTGGCTCAGGGCATAGCGTCTGCCTGCGAACTGAAGGGTCTCGGGTTTGATCCTGGTCAAGGGCGTGGACCCACGTTGTAGGCTCAATCCCTCAGGAATCCAGAAAAGGGAAGTGAAAGCTCTAGAAAGTAAAAATACTAAAGTGACAACACTTTGACCTTTTTAAGGTTCTTTGAGCTGACAATGCTCGCAAAATTGAGAAGACACCAAATATTATCAAGCCTATTTCCAGATAATTTGGGTTTGCTTAACCAGCATAACAAAAGAAAACGTAGAGGCTTAGTTAGGCGCTAGCTTCTGGCGGGCTTCCCTTACAGCCGGCTTCGTCCGGAAGGTCGTCTGAAAGGACATCTGGTCTAATTAGCATATTATGTTTTTATTATTATAGATCATAGCAGAAGTTCTTAACATGTTCTTAACATGTGTGAGGTACTCTTCCATGTGCTTTAGATATATTAACAATTTCATGTTTATTGGAGCAGGTTTTCCTACTATGTCCAAGAGATTAGAAACTCAGAGCAAAAGCATGTTACCGGCTGATGGCAGAGCCACTCTAGGAATGGGAGGCTTTCTCACACGCCAGATGACTCTTGAAGGTGATAAAAGGTTAGGCCACTCAGTGTGGGAGAGGACAAGATCCTAGAAAGTAGAAATATTCCACCATTGCCTGGGCGGCAGCAGCCTGGCCGCAACAAGGCGGGGATTTCTTATTTTTAACGTCAGGATACTAAGGATGCTGCTGCCAATACTGCATAAAACTCAAGAACACTTAGCAGTGATGGCGGACTTCCAACTGAGCCATCAAAGTAAATGTAGAAGAAATCTCCAGGTAGAAAATAGCATCATCGGGAACTCAGAGAACACACTTAAGTATTTGAAGCTGGTACTTAATCTTCTATTATTGAACTGCGGGTCTGCCCATGCTGGGGTCAATCTGAGTCCATTTATGATACCACCCGTAACACTGCTCACTTCTGTTGTCTGGTCTTCACAGAGGGCGAGAAGGGCAGTGATCAGAACTTAGGGCTGGGCCTCATAGTGATGTCGATTTCTCTTGTCCTTACATTTCCTTTCAGCCACAATTACTCTATGATCTTGTTTTGAATTCTTTTTTTCTTCTCTCTCCATTTGACTATGAGACAGAAGTATATTATAAAATCCATTAGTACTTCCTGACATACAGATTCTTTAAAGGGTCTCTCTCTCTCTCTCTTTGTTAATCCTCACCTGAGGATATTTTTCCATTGCTTTTTTAAAGAGAGAATGGAAGAAGAGGGGGGAGAGACACAGAGAGAAACATCAATGTGAGAGACACACCGCTTGGTTGCCTCCTGCATGCATCCCGACCAGGGCCAGGGATCGAGCCTGCAACCAAGATACATGCCCTTGAATGGAATCGAACCCGGCACCCTTCAGTCTGCGGGTCCAAACCCGCAGCCAAACCAGCTGAGCCAAACCAGCTAGGGCTAAAGTATATCTCTTAAGAGGAAATGGGCTGAAACAAGCCATGGGAAAAGATGGGTGAAGAAAGTTTTGAAGGGAGTAATCCACACAACAGAGCAGAATGGGAGCGATGGCCAGTAGGGAACTGGGATGATGGTAAAAGGAAAAGCAGTCCCTGACACAGAAGGTAGTCAGGTCCAGAAAGGCTGAGTAACTGTTGGCTGCCTGACAGCATAAACTGTAAGAGTAGAACGAAATACCATGATTTTAAAGATGGGCTAGAGGCATTTTCCCAGCTACCTTGTTTCCCCCCCACCAGGATATATTTAATAGATAAACGTCTGATTTACATATTGCTTACATAAATACTCATGTTAACTACAATTGTGTATGATCAAAGTAACTCACAACAAACACCACAACCAGGGCTTGGCATACCTAAGATACACAGATGAGCGTTTTTTTTTTACATTTTGGAGACAGAGCAAAGCTTAGGGCAAAAGGACTGCATTCCCTGAAGTTAACCCACAGAGCCCCTCATGCCATGTGACCGCCTAGACTGGGCCTAGCATCCTGTCCCCTTTTCCTGACAGCTTGGCACTCCTGGGCTTCATCTCTGAACTCCCCCGTTTACTGCACATGCTCTTGTTAAGCTACGAAGTCTGGATCTGAGGTTATTCCCCACCCCACCCGCATCAGGCTTCGTGGAGTTCACACACTCATTATATTCATGAATGCTAAGGCTAGACCCAAAGCTCTCTTATGCCTTCTTGCCAGCCTGCCTTTATTCTAGGACCTCCTTAACTCCACTGCACTCACTCCAGTCTTACGTTGATTTTCTGTCCAGTTGGTCCACCATTAGTCCCATATCGAACTGTTTGCTGGGCGTTTCTACACGCATGTCTTGCCTTATGCCAAAACCAGTGAGTGAGGCCAAATCCATTGCTCGTCCCCTAGTCAGCTCCACTTCTTAACAAGCCTCCGAAGAACATGGTATCTATGAAAGAGAAAAATAAAAGGATGAAAAGACAGTTGAACTACTGAGGAGGAAATCACCAAGAAATTGTTTAAAAAAATAATAATATGAAGTGATATTAAAAAATAGCAAATAAAGTTTCAAAACATATAATAGAGAACTGAAATGCATAAATATGTCACAATATATGTTTATATACTATATGTGAGCCCCCTAGAACCATGGGAAATGCAAAAAATTCACTGCTAATAACTCATTCTCAAATTGCCCCCCTTAAAAATCAAATTGCAGCCGAAACAGGTTTGGCTCAGTGAATAGAGCGTCGGCCTGTGGACTGAAGGGTCCCAGGTTCGATTCCGGTCAAGGGCATGTACCTGGGTTGCGGGCACATCCCCAGTAGGAGATGTGCAGGAGGCAACTGGTCGATGTTTCTCTCTCATCGATGTTTCTAACTCTCTATCTCTCTCCCTTCCTCTCTGTAAAAAATCAATAAAATATATTTTTAAAAAATCAAATTGCCCCCCCCCCCCCCGCATGGGGGATGTGCCTCACATTGGGAACCACTGTCCTACCCAAAAGGCTAAGTCATAAGGATGTGGGGAGGTTTAATGATGGACATAAATCACTGCAAATGGATTTCCCACATTGCCGAAACCGGTTTGGCTCAGTGGATAGAGCGTCAGCCTGCGGACTGAAAGGTCCCGGGTTCGATTCCGGTCAAGGGCATGTACCTGGGTTGCGGGCACATCCCCAATAGGAGATGTGCAGGAGGCAGCTGGTCGATGTTTCTCTCTCATCGATGTTTCTAACTCTCTATCTCTCTCCCTTCCTCTCTGTAAAAAATCAATAAAATATATTTAAAAAAAAAATGGATTTCCCACAGGGTGGGGGAAGGGGGAGAGAAAACATTTAACTTCCTCTATATGAATTCAGGACTAGAAGGACAGACTACTAAGTATAGCTGTGCAAATGCCTCAATATTTGCATAACATAGAGATATTATGCAGCTCCATCTTTGCCATTAAGAACAAAGGCAAGGCCCTAGCTGGTTTGGCTCAGTGGATAGAGCATTGGCCTGTGGATTGAAGGGTCCTGAGTTCGATTCTGATCTAGGGCACATGCCCAGGTTGAGGGCATGATCCCCAGTAAGGGGAGGCAGTCAATCAATGATTTCCTCTCATCATTGATGTTTTTCTCTCTCTCTCCTTCCTCTCTGAAATATATATATATATTAGAAGCCTGGTGCACAAAATTTGTGCACAGGTAGGGTCCCTAGGCCTGGCTGGCGATCAGGGCTGATCAGGGCCTTCCTGCTGCCAGCCAGGGCCTTCCTTCATTCCACGCTGCCCCCTGATGGTCAGCGCACATCATAGTGAGCGGTCGAACTTCCAAGGGGACAATTTGCATATTAGCCTTTTATTATATAGGATTTTTTAAAAAAAGAACAAAGGCAAGTAACCACTTTCTCTTTCCCTTCCCTTGTCTGTGGCTCATGCGTGGATGGAACTGGGGATTCATCTCCCCTACTCCCTAAGTCTTCTTTTCAGAGGCTTTGCATGGATGGTGTGGCCAGAGCACAGCCCCCCTTCCCCGGCCTCTTCCTTTAGTTTCAACTAAAAAGACCCTTCCTACTATATATAACACCCCAAAATCCAAGGAATATGACTGATCTGAACCTGACAAAGATACACTTTTTTTTGTTGTTTAAAGTCAGTGTTTGTAAACATGTGTAACCCACAAAGGCCCTTTTTCTTTTACAAGGAGTACAGCTCGGCTGGTGTGGCTCAGTGGATTGAGCATTGTCCCATGGACCAAGAAGTCCTGGGTTCAATTCGCGGTCAGGGCACATGCCCGGGTTGTGGGCTTGATCCCCGGTAGGGGTTGTGCAGGAGGCAGCTGATCAATGATTCTCTCTCGTCATAGACATTTCTATCTCCTTCTCCCTTTCTCTCTGAAATCAATTATATATATATATATATATATATATATATATATATGTATGAAGGGGTATAAAGAGTTACTTCTACCTGGATACTGTTATTTGTGCCCTCTCTGTGGTGTTGAGTCCCTCTTGGTTGAAGCTAGCATGTCCTCCCTAAGTTGTTCTGCCTGGGTGACTAAACTCCCAGACCTCCCCCCCCCCCCGCCCCCCATAACGCCTCCTGGCAGAATTGCTCTTGCTATACCCTCACAGAGGGAAACAGGAGAGGTGAAGAGCCCTGCGGATGCAGCCAATGCAGGTCTCAGACGGATTCCCTGCGGAGCACAGGCTGGGTTTCTCTGCCCCTCTTCCCTTGGCCGAGCTCCTTCCTCTTTTGGCTCAGGGTTAGTGATCTTGCATGGCATAGGGCGCCAGGGGGCGCCAGGGGACGCCTTTCAGCGAAAATAAAAACACCTCCCTGCAGCAAGCGAGCTGGGAAGCTCCCAGTTCTAAAGAGAGGCTGTTTACCAGAAGAGCATAACAAGGGCAGGTCTGGCTGCAAGGCTGGGACCGCGAGGCTTCAACTGCCACCAAGGGGACCCCAACTGGTCAATCACCTGCAAGATGAAGGCGGTGAGGATGCTGTTGGCCTGGCTGCAAACACTCCTCCTCAGCAACCTGCTCCTCGCAGAAGCCTATGCATCTGGAGGTAAGATGACAATCTTTCCTTCCTGCAGCAACTAAGTGAAGCAGGGAGGGGCAAGCCCCCTGTTTCCCAGGCCTCACAGAGGACAGGAAAGGAAGCTTTTAGCCAGATTCTGTTATCCCACGAAAGCTCCCCCCGCCCTTCTTTTCCTGGCCAGGGGGCTTGCAGCTCCATCTTTGCCATTAAGAACAAAGGCAAGTGGCTACTTTCTCTTTCCTTTTTCTTGCCTGTGGCTCATAAGTGGATGGAACTGGGGGTGGGGTGGGGGGATTCCTCTCCCCCTACTCCCCGAGGCCTGTTTTTTTTCCCAGAGGCTTTGCAGGGATGGTGTGGCCAGAGCACAAGCCCTCCTTCCCCAGCCTCTTCCTGGGGCTCTCCTGCTGCGAGCAGTGGGAGCTCGGAGTTACCTCCAGGCAGCGTACGAGGCTCCCCTGGTGCCCGCCCGCCCGGGTCCAGGCATTTGCAGCCTTCTCCCAGGAGGGGGTGTCCCTAGGGCAGGATGGCCAGAGCCGCGGAGAAGACACCACCAGAGTTTATGTAACGTGGAACGACCACACGGGGATGAGTTTCAGGCCCGGCTGCCCACCGCACCGACACCCCCAGCCAGGCCTTCTCCGCGCCCCTCGGCACGTGTGTAGTGCTTTCCGGCTTAAAAAAAAAAATTTCCGGCTTTAAAAAAAAAAAAAAGCGAGAGCTTCATGCAGCCCCGGCGCGGTTTTCCACGGGCCCAGGGTCTCGCAGCCCAGGGCACCCCAGCTCCCCAGCTCCAGTGTCTGAGGGGGCTCCTCTTCCTCACAGGCTGCTTGTCGGACAGCGGCCAGCTGTACCGGGCGGACCAGTCCTCCCCGGCGCCGGGCCTCCGCTGCCTCAACTGGCTGGATGCGCACAGCCGCCTGGCCTCTGCCCCCGAGGCGGGTGAGTGTCCGCCCCGGGCGGGCGGCGGCCTCCGTCCGGGCCCCCGGCCCCCAGTCCCCAGCCCAGGCCCCGGGCCTCAGCCCCAGCCCCGGCCATGACGGCTCCCCTCTCAGGCGCCGGCAACCACAGCTACTGCCGCAACCCGGACCGGGACCCGCGCGGGCCCTGGTGTTACGTCAGCGGCGAGACGGGCGCCCCCGAGAAGCGGCCCTGCGAGGACCTGCGCTGCCCAGGTACCCACTCGGGACCCCCGTGCCCGGCGCTGTGGAGGAGCGGCCGCTCCCGCTGGCCCCACGCCCTCTGATTGGTCAGGACTGTCTCCAGGCCGCGGGGCGCAAAGCCCATTGGCTGCCGCCGCCCCGAGTGAGCTCAGCTTCCGGGAGCGCCTTGTAAACAACGGAAGGGGGCGAGGCCCAGCCCGGCGGTCCCGGTCCGGCGCCCTTAGCGATCCGTTCAGCCTTGACTGAACAAGTTTGTGGTTTCCCTGCTGTGTGTTATCTTCTGCTCACAACCCCCCTCCACGGGAAGAAGTTATTGGGGGGAAGGAGGGGGCCGGATCAGAGAAGTGACTTAGGGAGGCAGTGAATGGCAGCGTTCAGATTTGAATCCCAGGTTCTTAGATTCCAGGGCGCAGGCGTGTTGCTCCCGAGGCAGCCAGACAGTTTTCTAGGCTCCAATGGATACGTGTAAAGATGCAACCTGGGGATTGGCGCACACACAGCGTGGGCTCCATAAATGGGAGCTGCCCAGGGGAGTCGGGGGTGACGCTTGCAGAGGATGGCAATGGAGCTGGGTGTTGGAAGATGGCAAGGATTTGGACCAGTGGTTCTCAACCTTCTGGTCCTTTAAATACAGTTCCTCCTGTTGTGACCCAACCATAAAATTATTTTCGTTGCTACTTCATAACTGTCATGTTGCTACTGTGATAAATCGTCATGTAAATATCTGATATGCAGGATGGTCTTAGGCGAACCCTGTGAAATGGTCGTTCGACCGCCCAAGGGGTCGCGACCCACAGGTTGAGAACCACTGAGGACAAATGAAGACGTGGGAGGCGGGAGAGGCCCTTTCTTAGGGCCTTGCCCTCACACTGGCCTTGTCCCAGCGATGGTGTGGCCCTCGCAGGCCTGGCCTTGCCCAAAGGGGAGTTTGGTGTCAGTGTGTGCGGGTCATTCTGAGCTGGATCCCTCAGCTCCCCCAGCACACGCGACGGAAGGTTCGGCTGAGGTGTTCACTCTGACCACCCTCTGATGAGAGTTGTTTTTCCACTTCTCCTCCAGAAACTGTGTCCCAGGACCTGCCAACCTCCAAGACAGAAACGGAGGAGGCGTTTGCAGTGCCAAGTGGAGATGAGGGGCAGCTGTTTGCTCCTGCCAATTCCCTGTCCGTCCGGAGCCAGGCCGCAACTGTGCAGCCCGTGATTGGGATCGTGCAGGGGGTCCGGGCGAACTCCAAGGAGAAGGACTTGGGGATCCTGGGTATGACTGCTCCACCCCTGTCCTTATATGGGATTCATGAAGGAATATTTGCGTATTGTCCAGGGCATGGCTAATGCAGACTTGTGTCCTTTCCTTGGCAGGCAATGTGCTGGGCATGGGCATGATAGTGATCATCATTGCCATCGGAGTTGGCATCATCTTTGGATACACCTACAAGAGGTCAGTAGCTTCTCTTCTGGGCGTCCCTCAGAGGAGGGAAGAAAGGTACACAAAGTCGAATCAGATTCCTTTATGGCATTCTTACCCCCCAAAAAAGTGAGGCCCTAGCCTGTTTGGCTCAGTGGAAAGAGCGTGGGCCTTTGGCCTGAAGGGTCACAGGTTCGATTCCGGTCAAGGGCATGTACCTCGGTTGCAGGCTGGACCCCTGTCCCTGGTAGGGGCACGTGTGAAGGAGACATGTGTCTCTCACATCGATGCTTCTCTGTCTCTGTCTCTCCCTTCCACTCTCTCTAAAAAACAATGGAAAAATATCCTTGGGTGAGGAGTAACAAAAAAAGAAAAAGAAAGGGAGGTGTGGAAAAAGGGGAAACCAGCTCAAGATGTCTAGTAGACACTTGGTTCTAGTCTTTACCAGGTGACCTTGTACACAAACCCCTTCCTTTGATGCCTTTATTCCTCACCCCAAAGCCTTGTGAGGTAGGAGTTCTCATTCCCCATTTTACCGACGAGGAAACCTTTGTCAGAGAGGTGAAGTGACTCACCCAGGGTCACTCTGCCTGGGAGTGGCAGAACATGGATTGAAGCCCAGCTTTTCTGACACCCAATTCCCCGATGTGTAATCCGGTGTGTCTGGTGTGGGTGTGAGTGGCATTGCAGAAATCAAGTCCGACACTCACTGCAGGGATCCAGAGATTGCACTCTTTCTGGGAGCTAGAAAACTCTGCTACTAAAGAGCTCCCCAGCCACCACTTTTGCCACTGGGTCCTGAATTTCCTGAGCCATAAGGATCTCCTCTAGGACAGGAGGAAGAAAGTGAGTTGGAGGACAGAGAGCCTGTTTGCTCACTCCTCATAGCATAGGGAGCCAAAGAGGCTACCTGGGGAACTCGGGGACGTGACCTGTGGCTGGGACACAGGAGGAGGAATGCTTGTTTGAGCGATCACGTGGAAAGGCTATCGAAGTCCGTCACAGGTGCATGATGATAAGGCCGAGTTGCGTTCCTTTCTACAGAACTGTCTGACTTTGGGGAAATTATTTGCCATTCTTGGGCAAAAATCAGGGGACCTCAGCCCCGAGTGTAATATTTCTCTCCAGGGTCTGAGGAGGCTTTCTGTAAGGGAAGTGGCATGGTAGCCTGCATTTCCCAGCGGCCAGGGCCATGTCTGAGCCCGTAGCCCCAGTGGATCACCCAGCATTAAATAAATCTCAGGTGTCCTTAGAGGTGATACATAGTCAGTCTGCTCATTTACAGATGAAAAAAGGAAGTGTTCGTAATAACAACAAAAGCAACAATAGGAAATAGCAGATGCCAGACATTGCTTCAAGCAGTTTACAGGCTGTAACTCCATTCTCACCATCACCTTTATGAGGCAAATGCTGTTATTATCTCCCCCCCCCCCTTTTACAGATTAGGAAATTGGGACAAGAGAGGAGGTGTACCTTGCCTGAGATCACACCCCTAGCATTTGGTGAGGCCAACTCTTAGCACTGCCTCGAACTCGCTATCTGTGTGACTGTGGGCAAGGTGCTTCAATTTCCTGCCCCAGAGCATTGCTGTGGCTAAGGCATGTGACTGAGGCACGTGACGGCTTAGCTCTGTGGTCATAAACTGTTTTTCTTTTCTGTAAAATGTGGGCACTCTTACTAGTGCCCTCCAAGCCAAGCCTTCTTCCTTCTCTGGTTTGCTGTGATTCAGGAAGCAGAGGTACAGAGAGGGGAAGTACTGGCCCGAGTGAGAGGATTCTCCTGATTGCCAGTCTAAGGTTGTTGCCCTTGGGATGTGCCGGCGGGACGGTTGGCTTGTTCATTTCAGAGCGTTAGATGGAATGGTGCGGTGGCCCTGACCTACAATTTGTGGGCAGAATCAAACCATGGCGGAGTGTAGCCCTCCTTCCCCAGCCACTGGCCGCAGTGGACTCTCCTCCAATCTTGTGACCGTTTCCAGGCCTCCAGGTGAACTGGCTAAACATTTTTCCAAGGTACTGGAGTCGAACCCACGACCCTACAGTCCCCCAGGCGGATGCTTTATCCACTGAGCCAAACAGGCCGGGGCTAAACGTTATTCATCTTGAGCTGGGTTCTCATGCCGGTGAGGGGGTCAGGCCTTTCTTGCAGGTTCACTCCTTCAGACTGTCATGTGATTTCCCTGAGGCCTAGAATTTACCTTCCGGTAAACTCAGGGCAAGGTACGGTCAACTCAGGGCAAGGCACAGTAAACTCAGGGCAAGGCACGGGTCACCAGACTCCCTGTTACTAACCACAAGACCCCCTCCTCCCTTTCCTCTGCAAAAGTACACTGAGTACAGTACAGACTATACGGCAGGAAACCACACCTGGGCTAAAGGCAAGCTTTCCCCAGAATCAGAGAAAAGACTGTTTTTGGAAAGAGCTGTTGAGTATAGATGTTGCTACTCTGCACCTCGGTTTCTTGACTGTGAAATGGGGATATATCCCTCCTCCACACACACCATACCTACCCACCCCAAGAGCATCATAAGTTTTAAATGTAAACAGAGCACCCATCAGGTTAAACAATTACAGTAGCAGCCAACATTTATTGCATGTCTTCTTAATAAGGAAGGCTGGCCCTAGCCAGTTTGGCTCAGTGGATAGAGTGTTGGCCTGCGGACTAAAGGGTCCTGGGTTGGATTCCGGGTCAGGGCACATGCCCGGGTTGGGGGCTTGATCCCCAGTAGGGGTCGTAAAGTAGGCAGCCGATTGATGATTCTCTCTCATCATTCTCTCTCTCTCCCCCCTCTCCCTTCCTGTCTGAAGTCAATAAAAATATATATATTTAAAAAGAGAGAGAAATCTAGTACGTCAGCCACTGGGTTGCTGTGACTGCAGCTAGCACCTGCCCTGCCTGGGCCTATCGAATGAGCAAAGCCATACAAGAGACACAACTTGAACGCGTCCCTCTTTTCTTGCCAGGGCGAAGGGCCTGAAAGAGCAGTATGATCAGAAAATGTATGAGCGGGAGATGCAGCCAATCACGCTGCCCTTGTCCGCCTTCACCAACGCCACCTGTGAGATCGTGGATGAGAAGACCGTTGTGGTCCACGCCAGTCAGACTCCAGTCGACCTTCAGGAGGGTGATGCCCCCCTTATGGGCCAGGCAGGCACTCCTGGGGCCTGAGCCCCCCACAATGGGCAGGAGCCCCGTGCCAACACTGGTGCAGGATGGCCTACCCTCCTACAGCTGGGAAGATCTACACTTTTTGTTGTGGTTAAAACCCTCCCCCCACTTTTTTTTTCCCTTTTGGTTTTTGGTGAACCCTAAGACAGACGCGGGTTGCACTGTCGACTGAGGGCGAAGTTGGGTAGGTTGCTACCAATGCTCTTTCTCCAACCCCTGGAGCAGGGTTTTGTCCGTGGATGGGGACAGTGGCAGCTGCCACAGCAGTGCTGCTGACAAGGGCTTGCAACACTGCCTGTGTCCTGGAACTGAATCAGGGACGGACAGGGAGCTCCCCTGGGTTCCTCTGAGCTTTATGATCTAGCGTGGCCTCAGTCTCCACCTTTCCGTTTGTTCTCTGCGGGCTTGAGTGGCGCACGCTGTTATTCATAGTTCAGGCCAAGCAGTTTGAGAGGCAACATTTACAAAACTGTATTTAGTTTAAACAGTATTTGGGATGGAACTCCCTACTGACCACTGAGAACCAGAAATGAGTTTGTACAATAATCAAAAGTATGGGTTGAGAATGGGATCCAGGCTGGGGGTACTAGGTGTGCCCCAACTTGCTGGCAGTGACATGCCTTGACAGTAGTGGGCCAGGCTAGGCCCAGTGACTTCCTGTTTTGAAAGGAAGGTGCTCGCTTCGGCAGCACATATTCTAAAATTGGAACGATACAGAGAAGATTTAGCATGGCCCCTGCACAAGGATGACAAGCAAACTCGTGAAGCGTTCCATATTTTTTTAAAAAAGGACAGGAAGGACTGCACTGAACATTTCGCTTAGGAAGAGGGTGAAGGATGCCTCAGGCCACACAGGACCTGAGGTGGGCCTGGTGCCCCCCAGACAGTCTCTGTCCAAGGTGGATAGTGACCTCTTCCTTTTGTGGGGTTAAGACAACAGCTTACCTGTGGGAATTATACTGCGGGGCCTTGTGAGCTGCCTCTGAGAATGGAGCGAGGTCACGACCCCTAACTTGTAAAACAGTCATAAAACCATTGGACAAGACCCTAGGGTTCCCCAAGCCCAGAGGGCGAAAGGGACACCCAAAGTCATAAAGTGACCGGCATGGGCCAGAGGAGAGGACATTTCCCCACCCACTGTGCTACACTGTGCCAGCGGCACGCCAGGGCCTCCCAGTCCTGACGTCGCATTTGGAGGCCTTAGCAATGCCACAGAGCTTCCTGCCCCAGGGCCCTTCCACTGCCCCTCGTGGAGAGCGAAGGGGCATTTGTGGGGCCCATTCTCTCTAGCAGGTGGTTGTTCCTGGGGGTGGTTTGCTGAGGGAACCCAGGCCTCAGGGGGTCCTTTGGGGTTCAGTGATGCTGAAGAGAACATCACTGGTTTCTACTTTTCTATGAAAACATTTCTCTGTGTACATGTTTTATATACCTCATTCTGACACTTGCATATAAAGCGCAGGAAATTGCTCTGCATTTTACTTGTATAAATAAATTTTTTAAAAAAAGAAAGGACTGCACATTACCAAGTCTGTGGGGTGTCGGGAATACTCCTCCCATGAGTTGAGGAACGTTTGGTTACCTTGTCAACACCTGTGTGGCCCGGGCCTGTCCCTGGGAGGTGGCCACCGTAGGACGGTTGGTGACCGCAGTCACCCCCAGGAATCTTCCAGGGTGAAGCTGCCGTAAAGATGAGTGTGCGGGCATCTCAGTGGGCGGCTGGTCCCTGCAGATCCTCTGCCCCCTGGCATTCTTTCCGAGGTGGAGGTAGTTCAACGTCCAGGCCGCCCTTGGCTGGGGCTGGGAACCGGCAGTGGAGGTGGTGCTGTAGGAACCACAGGAGGGATGGGTGTGCAGAGGGGGATGAGTCCTTAGGCTGCCAGGAACCGCTCTGAGCTGAGAACGTCCCCGTGGGGGTGACTCCTGGGGCCCCAGGAACAGCTACCAATGGGAGTTTCTGTTGGACTTGGAGTAATGGTTTCTCAGCCTCTAGAACACCCCGTGATCTCTGCCCATGGCCAGACACTGGACAGTTCTATCAGCAAGGGGCACCCGGTCCTGTGGAGAGGACGCTGGGACAGCCAGGCTTTAGGAGTGGGCGCAGAAGGCGGGCGTGTAGGGCCCCGAAGGAGCGACTCAGCTGGTAGGTGGGAGTCAGACCTGCTTTAAGGACTGGGCTGCCTCCGGTGGGATGAGCAGGTTGGTGTCTACATTAGGGGAGGGGATGGGAACTAGGGAGCGTGAGAACTCCCCGCTGTGGGGAGTCACGTGACCCGGACCTGGACAGGCCAGTAGCATTTCCTCTGGAAGGGAGCAGGGGAGGCCTTGCACTTCCTGGCAGACAGGCCAGCAGACCCCCGACGTGTATCTCCCTGAGCCAGACCCCAAGTCACATTTTACTCTCAGCGTCGTCGGTTATGTTAACGGCTTAATTTATTTGGTCTGCTCAACGGCCCAACTTGGGCCCACCACTCCCACGCTTGCAGGGGGCAGCTGAGGCACCGCCAGCCACACAGCGCGGACCTTGCTGCTGCTGGGAGCCCAGGGCTCAACCCCACAAGCTAGCACACTCCACACAGAAGTGCGGCCTGTGTCACGTAGCCAGAGATGACATCTAATCCCACAACTCATCAGGTCTATGAACAGTATTTCACGTATCACCCAACACATAGAACAGGATAGTATTAACAGCAACCACTCTCCTGAATCGCTCCCACCCACCTCCTCCCTCCCACCCCCAACACAACCACCACACATCGCAGTAATATCCCAAACCCATTCCCAATGTGTTAAATATGGCGCAAGCTCGCTCACAGACACTTAGGAGGAGACAAGTCTATTTGTGGTGAGTCCCTGGAGTTCTGGGAGCCAAGGGTAGAGGCTGCCCCCAGGGCTGGTCAGCACCATGGCTGTGGCTCAGGAGGCTGCAGCCAGGAGCTGGGGAGGTGGGCTAGCCAGCAGGGGAAGTCCGAGACAGACGTCCCAGCTCAGGGAGCTGTCTCCCCAGCATCTGAGCCCTGGGACTCTGCCACCTCCTTTTCCCACCCAAGTGGTGCCTGGACCTCGGCATGGTGAAGGGTGGGCAGTGGCTGCCACTGAGATTCCCACTCCCCCAGCCTCACACACTGGGCTTGTGACAAGCCATACTCTCCTCCAGAATCCATCCAGCTCCAGGCAACCTGTCTCAGGCTGAGGGACAGCAGCCAGGGTAGGGGCTTTCCGGAGGGCAGAGCCTCTTTCTTTCCTGCCCCCAGCCTCTTCCTGCAGGTGGGTGACTTCCTGTCACAGGCAGAGATGCCGATGCACAAGTTCTCAGCCAGTCTCCGGCAGAGCAGTGTGAGAACATGAGGCGAAAGCTCCCCCTTGCGTTGACGTGGCCTGGCGGGTGAACAGAAACCAGCCCTTCCCTGGATTCCTGGCCAGTTCCACCACAAAGTAAGGGCCTCTTCGCAACCTGTTGCCTCGACCCTGCCCAGGGAAGGGCGGGACATGGAGTGAAAGGAGGGTAGCACCACTGTCAGTTCACATCCTTGGGTTGCAGCCTGGCCCCCAGTCTTGCTCTCATCCACCTGACCGACTGACCGACTGACCGGCCGCTTGAAGTGCTCCAGTCCAGTGCTCCAGTCCTCAGCTGGACCCAGCGGCTGGTTCACCCTGGAATCCTCTGGCAGGTCCAGATCACGCTGATTAGTGTAAGCAAGAGCCTGGAATCCCAGGGAATTCCCGAGAGGTCACGAGTAACAGATTCTTCCTGGCCCAGGACCAGCCTGTTTTTTTCTTCTTCACAGCTTTCAGGCGAGTGTTGGATGTACAGACAGTAACCAGGCCCCAAAACGTGTGGAGAGGCATTTCCCTGGTGCTGCGCCCGGCTCGCCTCCTGGGGAGGTAGTAGGGATGGCTTGTTCTGCTTCTAAACAAGCTGCCGATCCACAGGAAGCTGGGATGGCCCTGCCCACAGCAGGGGGCTGGGCCAGGGCTAGGGGGGCGAGTCCCGGATCAGGCCGTACTGCACGCTCACAGTGTGGTCCAGCTCCTCCAGCTCTGCAGGCAGCGGGATGCCCAGCTCTCCCAGGTACAGGGAGAGGGCCTCAAAGGAGTCCTCCAGTTTTGAGAATGCCGGTCTAGAAAGACAAGGGGGTTGGAGGCGGGTGAAACATGGGAAGGGCCATGGGGTGGTGTGGAAAGCACCCAGGCCTGTGGCTTCACCACTTTCTAATTGTCTGACCTCGGGCAAGCCCCTTGCCTTTGTGCCTCCATGGGAAACAGGATTGCTGTAAAGGTTAGAGATAACACTGTGAGAAGGCTGGTTTGGTTCTAAGGGACAGCGGAGAAACAGAAAGTGCAGGAGAAAAAAAGCTCCTCCCATGTCTTGGAGAAAACGCAATCATTAAAGGTGGGATTGGACTAAAAGTGTCTTTAAAAATTTTCTTTTCATTTTTAAAAATATATTTTTATTGATTTCAGAGAGGAAGGGAGAGGGAGAGAGAGCGAGAAACATCAGTGATGAGAGAGAATCATTGATTGGCTGCCCCCTGCACACCACACACTGGGGATCGAGCCCACAACCTGGCATGAGCCCTGACCGGGAATCGAACTGTGATCTCCTGGTTCATAGATCGATGCTCAACCACTGAGCCACGCTGGCCAGAGCTAAGTGCCTTTTTATAAAAAAATTCCATTCATCGATTTTAGAGAGAGAAGGAGAGAGGGGAGAGAGAGACAGGGAGAGGGAGAGAGGTATGCATATGGGTGACTTCCTGTTACAGGCAGAGAGATGCCGATGACTCTTATATGTGCCCCAACTGGGGATGGGACCTATAACACTGGCGTATCGGGTCAATGCTCTAACTCAGCGGTCACCAACCGGTGGTCTGTGGACCATTGGTGGTCTGTGAGGTCCGAAAGGTTGGCGACTGCTGCTAACCAACGGAGCTACCCAGTCCAGGACTTAAGTGCCTTTTCAAAGTTCCTTTCCAGTCCTCAGACTGTTTCCACACCATTGGATCTGCCTGGGAAGGGCATTTCATAGGCGCAGCAACTCTCCCCAGGAGGAAGCAAATAGTGGGCTCCTAGTGCTGCGGACCAGCTTAGGTGCCCTGGGACCCTGAGGCATCTCAGGCTTCCTCCCCCGCCTCCTCCATGTCTTTACTTAAACATCTCGTCACCTTCTCAGCCTACTCTGATCACCATATTTAAAATGACAACTTGTGTCCCAAACAACTGTCTCTCCTTGACATTTTGTTCACAGCCTTTGTCACTTTCTGATATTCAGTATAGTTGATCTCTCCTTGCTGGAGTGTGAGTTCCAGGAGGGGAGGCACCTTTGTTTTGTTCACCACTGTAACCACGTGCTTAGGACAAATCTAGCACATGGCAGGCACTCAGTAAATATTTCTGAATGCAAGACAGACATTTAGAATGACTGAGAAGGGGTATTACCAAACAAATATTGTATAGTTTCACATCCTTTCCTCCTGCTCTTACTCTGGTATATTATACTAAAGGACTGTGGTTTTTGGGCCCATGAAGGAACAAGATTTAGAGCTCCCCACCAGCCAATCCCGACTCTACAGCAGACTTTTGTAAATCATCTATATATATAAAAGCCTAATATGCTAAGTGTCTGACCATTCGACCAGTTGCTATGACGCGCACTGACCACCGGGGGGTGGGTGGGGGGGGGAGACACTCTGACCAGTAGGTTAGCTTGCTGCTGGGGTCTGGCCGATGGGGACTGGGTGGGACGGTCTGGACATGCCCTCGAGCCTTCCCTCGGTCCCTCTCTGGTAGGCCAACCTCCCGGGGTTGTTGTTGTTACATCATGTTGTTATTGTTTACTTATTAATCAATTTATATATTATTTTCATATACATTTTACTAATTTTCTTTCATCTCTGACACTTCTATTATAGAGAAAGGGCGGATAGCGATATTAAAATATTTCTACTAATTTCCTTTCAATGTGCACGAATCTGTGCACTGGGTCACTAGTTTAAAAAATAAAGATTATGTGCTAACTGGTTACCTTGGGGAGATGGAGTTGGGGAGTGAGGAGAGTGTTGAGGGACACATTAATTAGGAGATTATAGAAGAAACATAATTTCCATGCTAGGTATTTTGGTAATCTGTGAATCTGTCTTTTAAAAGGAACATGATTTTTGATAGCAGAAAAAAAGCACAAAGATTCTAGGTTTCTAATGCACAAACTTGAAAATTCCCGGGGTAACTTTGGTAATAATGAAAGTTATAACTTGAGGAAATGAAGGTAATTTTAAAAAGATTTCTTTCAAGGAAGAAATTAGCTAAATGCATGAAGATGCTCACTGTAGTAATATCTACTGTAAAGAGAAACTGGAAAAACCTGAACATCTACATTATGTATATTACAATATGTTCAGAGTTTCCTAGAATAGAACTTCATGTAGTTAACAAAAATGCTAAACAGGAAGCTTGAGTAGTAACAAGGAAAATACAGGGTAAAATAAAAAAAAATTTTTCTCTATTTGAGATCATAAATCTATAAAAAATGTGTGTGTGGTGTGTGTGAACATGGACAGGGGAGTATGGAGACATGAAGACACTTATTCTGGTAGAAAGGTATAGGTTGGGTGAGTTCTGTTACAATTCTTTTCATGGCTGTGTCTCTGTTACACCCAGGTCACTTGCAACTGTGCTCTCATCCTCCCGACCCCCCACCTGGTATGTCAGCTGTCTGGTGCCTTCAGTGGTTGACAGTCACATCCTTGAGCTCAAGGCTTCTGCCACCCCTGTGCCTGGGAAGGGCATGGGGACAGCCAAAGGGGGGCAAGTCTCCCAGGACCTTGTGGGCTGGGGCAGAGGGGCGGATACCAACCTGCTCTCGGGCTCCAGTTTGCAGCAGATGGTGGCCAGGGGGAAGAAGGCTGGGGGGCAGTCTGTGGGGACAAACTTCTCCCAGAAAAGCTTCACGTTGAGGCCATAGTCCAGTGTGCGGGGCAGGCAGTCAGGATCTGCATACACCTGCCCGATGATCTGCAGGCGAGAAGGTGGCTGGTCAGACAGGGACTATGGAGGGTGCGGCCCATGGTAGGGGAGAGGGATGCTGGCGCGTGCACAGGAAGCACGGGCAGAAGAAGAAGAGAAAACTGAGGTTAAAGAGCCACCCTCCCCAGCCCTGCCTCTCGAAGTCTTGTTGATCCAGACTTGTCTCCTGACTGAGAGTCTGAATACTGAGGAGGGTTTAGAAGGTCTTACTGCAGTGGAAGCACAGTGTTCCGAATCTGGAGGGGCAGTTTCCACACATCCCCCCTGCCCTGCAGTGTCCCCTGCCAGAGTTCAGGCTCTGTGAAATGAGGGGCTGGGTCTGATGCAGGTCTGAAATCCTATGGCACCAGCCTACTGCTTTATACACAGTAGATACTCAATTGATCTCTATTAAAGAAAACAATTTTTGCCCTAGCTGGTTTGGCTCAGTGGATAGAGTGTCGGGCTATGGACTGAAGCGTCCCGGGTTCGATTCCGTTCAAGGGCACATGCCCGGATTTCAGGCTCTATCCCCAGTAGGGGGCATGCAGGAGGCAGCCGGTCAATGGTTCTCTCTCATCACTGATGTTTCTATCTCTCTCTCCCTCTCCCTTCCTCTCTGGAATCAATTTTTAAAAAATAATAATAATTTTTAAAAGAACATTTCTTCATTATTCCAATCGTCCGTTGTCTCTCTATCACTCACCACTTTGTAGGAATTACAGAAACCCTTGAATGTATGTGTTGGGCCGACTGCTTCGAGATCGACTGAACTAAGCTCCTAAGGGCAGGACTGTCCCCAGGACTCACTCTGTCCCCTCCAGTGCCTAGCACTGTGCTGGACGGGCTGGCACTTCCTGGAGTGGCTGCTTCCACTTCCAGGCTGAGGGCAGGGGGAAAGGTTGCCTCGGGCTAGACAGGCGGCCACATGAACAATCTGCCTTTCCTAGTGGAGTTCCACGCCTGGCCTGCCCCTTACTGACCCTGTGACGAAGGGCAAGCCACTCTCCCTTTCTGAGACTGTTTTCTCACCTGAAAAAAATCCTGCCCCCGCCTATGGGACCAGTGCAATCCGACTGTGGCGAGAGACGTGTCATGAACCAGATGACCCTACACTCGTGCTGACTTTATGGCGAGTTACTCATCTTTCGGAGGAGGAGCCTCCGTTCGGAGGCAGGGCAGAGCTGCTGGGCCTGCTGCCTCAGGCCTTGCCTACGTGCGGGAGCTCACCTCGCAGAGAACGATCCCGAAAGAGAAGACATCCACCGTCTCGTCGTAGCTCTTTCCTTGGGGAACACAGGAGAGCGGGCTGTTAGGTTTGGTCCCTTACCTGCTCTGCACCGAGTCTCGGGCCAAGCCAGGCCACAGCCGAGAACCGGGACTAGAACAGGATCCGTGGGGACGCCCCGAAGGCTTCCCGGGACTGGGACCACCTGGAAGTCGCCTTTCCTCGGCCCTGGGTGAGCTGCCTTGGAAGGATGTTATAAACCAACACTGCCCGTGATGACACTGCGCGGGACCTGGGTTCACCTGGACTCTGCCGTTAGCCAGCTGTGTGCTCCTGGGCAAACCACTGAGCTTCTCTGGGCCTCAGATTCCAAAAAGGGTTGTATCAGACCATTCATTTCTGAGGCCTCACAACCCTGTGGGTTTCAACACTCTCAGCCAGCACCTCTGGCTGGTGTGAGCATTATCCACAAGAGGGCGCCACACTTCAGTTCTCAGCACAGAGAGAGAAGGAGGCTGAATCAGGCAGTAGGTAGCCTGAGCCCTCACCTACCCTTGGGGCACAAAAGCCTCAGCCAGACCTCACCCTAAACCTCAGAGGGGACACTGACTAGTCGTGGGCCTGCGCTCAGGGAGGAAGGAGTTTACGAGGCCCCGTCTGTCTGGCGAGGGATAGAAATGCAGCCTTCAGCTCCGGGAACTTGGCCTTACCCTTCACAGGCCTCCCCGGGAGCTCCCAGGGCTCTGCTGTGAGAAGTGGCCCCCCATGCCCCTCGGGAGGCATGGCCCCTCAGGGCACCCATACTCACCATTCAGCATCTCAGGGGCCATCCAGTAGGGGTTCCCCACCACCGTGTAGCGCTTCTTGCGGTCATTTTTGCGCAGCGTACGCTTCTTGCTGGTGGCCTTCTCCACTGGGGGCTTTTTCCTCTCCTCTACGATGAGCCGTGACAGCCCAAAGTCTGCCACCACCACGGTCTTGTCCTGGTGGGACAAGGGCCAGGTCAGGACTTGGTGGGGACATTTCTAAGAGGAGTCATTGAGAAGGAGAGAAAAGATGGGCAGCAAAGGAGAGTGAGTCCCAGCTGAAGTCCTCACTGACAGACAAGGCTCAGCATTTTGTTTGCTAACAGTCTGGTATCTCCACACAGCAGATTCCCGAGACCTGGGGGTGCTCACAGCAGAGCCCCTGGAGCCTGGAGGGAGAAGGCTCTGAGAACTAGAGAGTGGGACTCAGAGGCAGGGCAGGGGATTTCTTTCGTTTTGTTTGTCCCCCATCCTGCCTTGTCCCCCAAAGTATTTTTTAAACATGTTTTTATTGAATTTAGGGAAAAATAAAGGGAGAAGGGGAGAGAGGGAGAGAGAGAGAGAAACATCCATTGATTGCCTCCTGCACGCCCCTTACTGGGGATCGAGCTGCAACCCAGGCATGTTACTGACTGGGAATCTAACAGGTGACATTTGGTGCATGGGACGACACTCAACCAACTGAGTCACACCCACCAAGATTTAGGCCATGGCTAGAATCAGGATAAGACAGAAAAAAGATAAGGTGGAGGCAGTCAGCTGGGGACTTGGGGAGAAAAGCTCTTCAAATAGCTCTGGGGGCCCTGGCTGGTGTGGCTCAGTTGGTTAGAGCGTTGTCCCATGCACTGCAGGGTCTCGTCTCGGGTTTGATTCCCGATCAGGGCACATACCCAGGTTTTGGGTTGGATCCCTGGTGGGGCCACATATGGGAGGCTGCTGATCGATGTTTCTCTCTCTCCTTCTCCTTCCTCTCTTTGTAGAATCAATGAAAAACATGTCCTTGGGTGAGGATTAAAAAATAAATAAATAGCTATGGAGTAGTCATGTGGAAAAGGGATTAAGATTGTTTGGGTCCAGAAGGTGAAGCCAGGGACAGTTAGTGGGCACCCAGGAAGCCAGATTGCAAGTCAACAGGAGGAATAACATTATAACAATCAGAGCTGACCCGCCAGCGGGAGGAATGCAGGCCCCCAACCCGGTCACTACAAATGCACTAGCTCTGTGGCCTCAGGCGCCAGAGCTGTAAAACGGGGTCCACCGTGAGCTGCTTTACAGGACCATCAGGGGGCAAAACCAGGAACATGATGGGGCTGTCTGCACAGAAACCCTTCCAACCAAAGGATTTCAAAGGCTGGAGCTGTATCTGCAAGTGTCTGAGAGCTCAGAAGACAGAGAAGGGCACTGCAGGCAGCCGGAAGGGCAAGACAGGAGCCCTAGGCGAAGAAGGACAGTCAATTCTTTTGCGACCAGGAAGCCGGGAGGGCTGGCCCCGGGGAGACCCAGAACAGCAAGACATACCAACTTGATGAGGCAGTTGTGTGAGTTCAGGTCCCGGTGGATGATGCACATGGAGTGCAGATAGGCCTGAAACAGAGTCGGAGCTGAGGCTGATGGCCAGGAAACCAAGCACTCGCTGACTCCGGATTTGGGCCATTGAACTGGCCCTTCGTCCAGGCCAACCCCACCCACCTTCAGAACCTAACCTGGACTCCAGAGCCCAGGCCCCCTGCCGTCACTCCCCTGTCCCAACACCAACAGAAAGCCAAAGGCCGCCTGGGCTTCCTCTGTCCCTGCTGCCGCCTCCTGCCCATCCTTAGTTCGGCGGCCCGAACCCAGTGGCTGCTCTAAGCTCTCCCTGCTGTCTCCTGAAATCTCCAACCGTCCCGGGCCCTGGCTCTTGCATGTCCCCATCTCCTTTACCCATTTACGCAGATCCGGGACCTCTGAAGTAAGCAGCCCTGGCTCCCTCATCCCAATGACTGGTTTCAGCTACCCTGGATCCTTCCTGCCTGTGAGCGGGGAATCAGCGACCTCCTCCTGAGCCAGCGGGCCCTGTATTCCTGACATTCCCCTTCCCCGAGACTCAGCACCCTCCTTGCTCTCTGTCTGCACCGTAACCTCTCTTTCTTCCCAACCAAATGTTTCCAAACAGGCCTGTTTGCTATTTCCCCCTCCAGGCAGGCACCTACCCTAGCTCTTCCCAAACATGTCTCCCAACCATTACTGCCACCCCCCAAACGTCAGCTAAATGACACCAACATTCTTCTAACCAACCCAACTCTTCTTTCTCCCTTCAGCTATTCCCTCACTGCCAACCCCTCTCTCCATTCAGACTCCACTCTGCCTCCCAATCTCCTGTCCGCCCCAGCCCCTAAAATTCAGAAACCTGAAATGTTTCATTAGCCCCCGACCCAGGTGTCCCTGCGCCGAGTTCTCCCAATCCTACCCCAACTTTCTGACCACACCAGACTCCTCTGCAAAAAAAAGAAGAGCTCTGGCCACAAAGCTTGCTTGCTTAAAAATCTTTTAGCCCGGCCAGTGTGGCTCAGTGGTTGAGCTTTGACCCATGAACCAGGAGATCATGGTTCGAATCCTGGTCAAGGCACATGCCTGGGTTGCGGGCTCGATCCCCAGTAGGGGGCATGCAGAAGGCAGCCCATCAGTGATTCTCTCTCAGCATTGATGTTTCTGACTCTATCTCCCTCTCCCTTCCTCTCGCTGAATTAAATAAAAACATACTAAAAAAAAAAAATCTTTTACACCTGTCTTTCTGTCTTCCTACATAAAGCCTGACTCTTTAGCTTAAGATACAGGGGCCTTAATGTACCCCAAGACTAATATGGTCTTCATGGACCCACATGAAGAGCAGTGGTTAAAATCTCAGGACTGACTCCCCCAAGCTTCCGGTTCTGTCCCTTTGTGGCCTCAGTGTCTCATATAGAAACCAGGGTTGCCGTGAGGAATAGACACACACATGCATGCTAGTCCCTCAGCTCCTGCCTGGCGGACAGAAAGCACTCAGCAACGGTCAGTTACTGCCATCGTTGGAATCATTCTTTCCTAGGAACACAGGTTGCTTCCTCCTCCTCAGCCTGGGGCTCCTCTGCCCAGAGGAACTTTCATCCAGTTCTGGCCCATCCTTCAGGGCTCAACTCGAACGCATTCCCCCTCCTCAGATTTCCTAGGCAGCGAGGTTCTCTGCAGGCTCCAGAGGCCCTCAGAACCCGGACACCCAGTGCCTGCAAGGCCAGGCCATTTTGTGCTAGTTTGCTTCTCCAGTTCGCCTTGCCTGTGTCCTGTTTGCCCTTGAAGATTTGGATTCTTTGAGAGCAGGGTTGTGAGCTGAGAACAGCCATCGGGGGTCAATTCCCCTGGCACAGAGAGCAGCTCAGCACTAGCTGCCCAGCCCACACGAGCTGCCTTCCAATGCCTGCCCGCAATCCTTGCATCTCCCCCAACTGCCGCCCCCCTCTTCCCCTGCCAACCTGCTGGCAAGGTTAGTGCCAAGACTCACCATTCCAGAGGCGATGCCTTTGGCAAACCTGACCTTCTGCTGCCAGGGCAACGGGTCCTGCAGGATGGGGGAATGTCCATCAGAGGCTGTTGGTCCCTGGACCATGAGTGGGCCCCAACATGGTCTCTGCCTGTGCCCAGTCCCACCCATCGTGGCCCTTTGCAGGTAAAGCAGTGAGTCTCTCTGGCTAGCATGGCTTCAGGGTCGTAGTGACAAAGGTGTCCCACTGACAACCCACCAAGCTCCTGGGGACAACGGAGATGGCACACTCACCACGCTGCGCACAAAGTCCTTCAACGTGCCCCCCTCAATGTACTCTGTCAGCAGGTTCAGCTTCTTGTCCTTGTATAGCACCCCGATGAACTTGAGCACGTTGGGGTGGTCCAGGCTGCGCATCACCTTCACCTGGGGGTGGGGAGGCCAAGAAGGGCGGGCAGTTACTTCCCACTGTGTCTTCCTCACCCCTTGCCTCCAGGCGGTCAGCACGACCAGTGTTACCTGCATCTCCTACCTCCTCTGGTGTGTGATGGGGAGGAATACGCCCACGTGGATGGGGAGGGCCCTACGGGCCTTACCCTCAGGATCCTGCCTTTTTAGGAATTGCAGGGGGGGTGGGGTGGGTGTGGGAGTGGGAGGGCAGCACCTGGACCACAGGTGCACCCAGCTGCATTAGTGGAGCAACCCGGGAGAGGCGATGGAGATGCTCCGGGAGTGTGTCAGTTCTCTGGAATGCCCCGCTAGGCTCCCTTAGCAGGGTGTTCAGGTGGTAATTATAGCATCTAGTAGCACATCCCCTGGAGGAGGTGTGCTTTCATGTCCATCACCCCATTATCTGTGAGCACCTCGTAAGGTCTTCCTCCCTCTTCCAACAGTGACACCAAACTCCTAACTCCACGCCCTCTTCTTACCTCAGTCAGAAAGGTCTTCTGGGTCTCCTCGTCACACCGAATCAGCTCCTTCATGACCATCACTTTGCCCGTGGCTTTGTGTGTCACCTACAAGGAGGGCGATTGTCATGGGTGCAGCGACCGGAGGCAGTTCTGGAGAACTGTGTGAAAATCAGCGCAGCTGGCCGTCCCATCCCCTGGAGGAGGCGCCGAGCCAGGCCAGATGGACAGAGTTCATGTGCAGAAGACACAGCACGGGGCACCAGGGGACTCGGAGAGGAGCACACCCCCGTCCCTGGAGAGCTGGGCATGCACAGAGGAGAAGCGAGAACCCGGAAAAGGGAAGTGTGGGA